ACTATGTGCTTAGTTACACATGTTAACAAAACTAGAATAAAATATGAAAGAGTATGGAAATATTTATATTAGACTATTGAGATTATGACTTCACTAAATAAAAAATAATTGATTGTCCTATATTGACTTTGATTTTGAAAAAATACATATATTTTAATTGGTCTATTTGGCAGTACCATGGGTCCACCCTATGGCTTTGCCCATGCTAAGCAAACATCCACCCTAACTCCTTGGAAATAAAAAGTATTTTTGAAAATTGACAAGTAAAGTTATGTATATTTATGGTATATTATATGATATTTTAACATGTACACATTGTGGAGCAGCTACTTAAGCTATTCACCATATGTATATACTTATTTAGTGATAAAAACACTTAAAATTTGAGCAATTTCTAGAAAAGAACTCGCTATTTTCAACTGTAGTCACCATGATGTACCTTAGATCTTTTGAATTATTCCTTCTGTTTAACTGAAATTGTGTGTCTTTTGACGAACCTTTCCCCAGTTCCCCTGTGCCCCTTCCGTCTGTCTCTGACAACCACCACTTTACTGTTTAAAGTTTGTTTTTTTTACACTCTAAGTGAGTTAGAAGATATTTGCCATCTTGTGCTTTGCTTGTCCTTCAGGTTTATCCATGTTATCAAAAGTGACAAAATCTTCCTTGTTTAAGGTGAATTCCATCGTGTGTAATGCTACATCATCTCTATCATTTTTCTGTGACACCTTGTGTCTCCATCTCAGCTATGGGCGAATAACGCCTTAATGGACACGGGAATGGAGACATCATTCTAACAACATTAGCCAAGGGCAGCCTGAAAGTCAGAAAACTCAGTGGGTTTAAGAACTAGGGTTTGCTCTCCAGTACAGAGAGAGAAAAAACTACTTTTCAGCTTCTGATGCTTTAAAAAAGGCAAGTTATTTTAGTGTCTGAGACCAGAAACCACTCCTTTTGGTCCCTTTACTAAATGAAATCATCCAGTTGTAATGGATAAGGTATCTCTCAAACAGCATCTTTGGACTTGGACTTCCCTCCAGTTCTTGGTCCACTTTTTCACCCCTGTTTTTATTGTACTGCCATTGCTCTTTGCTTCTGCATCCTCCCTGAGAGCACCCCCATTACTACAATCCCATCCTAACTCCACATTTACACTTCCATAGGTTCAACCCTAGGGTATCTATTAAATTGAGGTGGGTTAGAGAGGGAAAGAATTCTCCCCAAAGTTTCTTTCACTGTGAAGCAACCATTCACAGGCAATGAATGACTCATTTTCACTTAATTTATGATGATTCTAACAAGATGGGTCCATTTGTGAGGGTGAGAAAGTCAGCTCTCTTTCTCTTATCTATGTATGTGTTCTGTTTATCAAAAGCAACTAATACAATGTACCTTCTATCTTAGGTTTATAGTATCCATTTTAAAGTCCAAGGGATTTTCCAGTTGTGAAAATGTTCAACCTTGGGTGTTGTTAACTTTTCTTGGATGGATTCTGAGATGTTTAGGAAGAAGTCAGGTTGATCAATTGCTATATTTTTTAAAAACTGAGGCATGATCAATTTCCATATCTGAGTAATGAAGCCATGGCTTTATTTTAGGTGATGAATTCAAGAAAATAATAGTTAAGAGAAAAAGAAGGAATTGATTTGCAACAAGTATGCTAAGGTCATTCAACAAATGGTGCATAAACAAATGGACATCCATACACAAGAGAATGAATTTGAACTCACACCATGTTCAAAAATTAATTCAAAGTAAGTCAAAGACCTAAGTGGAAAACCCAAAGCTATAAAAGCCTTAGGAAGAAATATAGATATAACTCTTCATGGCCATGCACGATGGTGCACATCTATAATCTCAGCACTCTGGGAAGCTGAGGCAGGAGGATCCCAAGATCAAGCCCAGTGTGGGCAACTTATCAAGATCCTGTCTCAAAATAAAAAGTAAAAATTACTGAGGCTATAGCTCAGTGCAAAGGTCCTGGGTTCAATCCTGAGTACTGTAAAAATAAACAAACAAATAACTGAAATGTTGTATCTTTGGACTGGGCAATGGTTTCTTAGATATGATACCACAACACAAGCAAAAAAGGACTATTTCATCAAAATTAAAAACTCTTGTGGATCAAAGTCACTATCAAGAAGGTGAAAAGAAGTCAACCTGAAGAAAAAGAGAAAAATACTTGCAAGTAATATATCTGATGAAAGCCTGGCATCAGAATACATAAATAACCCTTACAACCCAACAACAAAAAAGACATACAAACCAATTTAAAAATAGACAAAAGTCTTGAATAGGCATTTTTCCAAAGAAAATATACAAGTGGCCAATAACGACATGAAAATATTCTTAACATCATTAGTCATTAGGGAAAAATGCAATTCAAAACCAAATGAATTGTGTTTTGGTTTTTACATCCACTAGGATAGCTCTAATAAAAATTTTAAAAATAGAGAAACAGAAAGTCACAAGAATTTGAGGATGTGAAGAAATTAGAACCCTTATATATTGCTGGTGGAGCTATAAGATGGCACAGCTGCTATGAAAAACAGTTTGGCAGTTCTTCAAAAAGTTAAACATAGAATTACCAATAATCCTGCATTTCCATTCAAAGATATACACACGAGAATTGGAAACATATGTTCACACAAAAACTTGTACATGAAGGTTTAGAGCAGCATTATTCATAATAGTCAAAATATGGAAGCAACCCAAATGTACATCAGTAGATAAATGAATAAACAAAATATGGTATCTAATACTGTAGAATGTTACCCAACCATAAAAAGAAACGGACTGATACATGTTACCACAGGGACGAACTTAAAAGCATTATGCTAAGTGTAAGAAGCCAGATAAAGGGCCACGTATTGTATAATTGAATTTATGTGAAATGCTCAGAATAGGAAATTCATGGAAACAGAAAGTAGGTTAGTGGTTCCCTGGGGCTGGGAGCAGGGGAGATGGAGATGAGGAGCTTAATACATACAGGGTTTCCTTTGGGGAAGATGAAAATGTTCTAGAATTAGATAAGAATGATGTTTGCACAACATTGTGGATGTACTAAAAACCACTGAACTGTACCCTTTAAAATGGTAAATTTTATAATATGTGGATTTTATCTGAAAGGGGGAAAAAGAAAGAGGTCTTTTATACTTTGCTGCACTAGATTTTAGGCGATGAAGGGCATTCTAAGCAGGTGAGACTGGACTGAGCAAAAGCTAGAGAGGTATAAGGCATTCGAGGGTAGTTACATTAGTGGTCGGTATGATGTGAGCTATGGGCTTCTTGCTCCTGCTAGAGCTCTGCCACTGCAATTTATTTAGCCTCATAACCGGAATCTGCCTTGATCCTCAGTTCTTGTCTCGCAGAATATGGCTTCAGTGTAAAAGCTGAGAAGCAGAAACACTGTTCTTGAAGCTTGGTGGGATTTGGCAGGGTCCCCTCAGTTCCCCTACGCTGTCCGCATCCTGTCTGTGCTTGCCTGAGCACCTGAAACACATGGAGGACAGAGCTCTGCTCCCACACTCCGTCCCTCTCCTCTGGGGACCCTTCTTTGCTGCAATGACTGGCTCTATCCACCTGCCAGACAGATAGGCCCTCGTTTCCTCTTGAAAAGGCTCTTGCACCACGGAGGAGGAAACTAGGGGGAGAGAAGGAGACCCGTCCCATCCTCCTGGGAGGAGCTATCCCATATGGTTCCTTTGGCTTCTGTTTGGAGAGAAAAACCCACTGCCTTGAGTGGGGTGGGGGGACAAGGGTTCCTGGAGGAGGAGTTTGGTACTTGGTGAACTGTTCGGCGAAGAGCGCTGAGCAGAAAGCATTCCAGAAGAAAAGGAGATTGTCAGTATGCAGCCTTGAGCCCCCGGATGCCTCCCAGAGGAGAAGCTACCAGTGGTCTTCCCCAGTGTGTGCTTGCTGACATTTGCTCCCTGATGCACTAACCATAATCCTGTTTTATTGTGTTTACTATTTCGAGTCTTCAGAGCAAACATAAGCATCCTCCACAGTGGATCCGACCTCAGGCAGACTTCTCCTTAAAGCCAGAGATAATCCCCCTGCCTCAGAGAGCCGGTGTGATGAACGACTCAGCGTTCCCAAGCTGCATATGCTTATGAGATGAGAACCCAGAGGTATCTGGGCTCGGGCGGCTCTACTCAGGGGGGAATACTGTCCTACTCAGGAGTGGGTTTGAGCATATGACACCCATGTACCGCCCCGAGACTGTGCCCCCTGCCCTAGGATGCCTGAATAGAGACGGCAGCATGGAAAATATGCACCCCAGAACTCCAGACAAAAAGAAACATGAATTTAACCCTGACTTCTCCTTGAACCCGTTGATAATTGTTTTCAAATACAAGAAAACTCAACTCCTATTCTACTGTCTCCAGTGTCTGAGAGATAAATGCTCTGACAGTGTAGACAAGGACCAGATGTGCAGTGGATGGGTCAGTCTGTACTGGGAAGGGGTGAGGAGGGAGGAGGGGAGTCTGACTGTCATTACTTGGAAGGGTCAGGGGGTTGGTGACAGTGGCAAGAAACAGATTTTTCCAGCTGCTTTCAGGCTGAGATTTGTACTGCATAATCTGAATGCTTTTATCTGTTTCTGAAAATAGACAGGAATTTTTTCCACAGGCTGCTCCAATCTGCTGTGGAGACGTGAGGGAGGATTGCAGGAAGACAGTTGTACGCAGTCTACTATGTTGGTTTTTGTGACCCCCTGCATTAGCTCTTCCCCCATCCTGGCTCTGTGGAGCCACATTATCTTAACACCTCTTCAAGTAGGGAGGCAGAAGCGCTGGAAATACTTTCCATTCTGAATTTTGTATAGCTTCTTATATACTGAGCCATCCTTCCTTCCTTCCTTTTGCTTAAATAGAATTAAAGACCTTTGAGAGGTCAGAAGCACCTGCCCAGATGGAATGGTTGCCTGTATAGAATAACACACAGAATATAGGAGACAAATGATACAGAAAAAAGACAATGACTTGATTGCAACTTACAGTTTATGGTTCTTGCCAATTCCACAAATCATTCTTCATCTTTGTCCTGAATACAGACTACAAAGAAGCATCACAAATTATGTACAGAGATCTTCTGGAAGGTTAACTCTGGATTAAATCAGACTCCCCCTCTCAGCAGCTGGTCCCTCTCATTTCAGATCAAAAGGATCTTGAACTTTCCAAGTGAACTGCTGTCAAGTAAACAGCAAGAGGATCTCTAATATTATTTACATAGCATTTTCTTTATGCAATTATGTATTGGTTTCTTCCTGCTACAAGCCTATCTTAAAAATGTGCAAAGCAAGACACGAAAAAGAAAACAATGTGAAGGACCATGTGGAGTCAGAGGGGGACAGAATAAGACAAGGGCCTCTCATCCCACAGACTGTGCATCTAGATACCTTCTGTACTTATTCCAGTGATCCTTTTCAATTGCCATTCACCTACCCAACAACCGTAAGAAGCCATTTGTGCTGAGCATGGACTAAAGCTTGCCAATGTTATTATTCTTGGAGTTTCTTGGGCTTATAGGAAACCAACACAATCCTTCGAAGTTAGTAAGTTTGGGGCGCTTACTTGCAAGATTCCTCTGAAGTAGATCTTGCTATGAATGGAAGCAAGAGAGGAGTGCCAGGTTCTGGAATGCTGCCAGGGTCTGCATCTCTGAGGTTCCTTTGTTGTCCTTATGGCCAAAGAGCCGTATGATTACCTCAGGAGGAAAAAAGAGCAGAAATATGTGTTGTCATAATCCCCCACCTCAGCCACAATCCTTCTCTGAGAGTGCTCTCATGGAAGGCTCTGTCTAGAACTATGATCTGTGAGTCAATTTATTAAGGATGCAGCACTTTCAGCTCCAGACCTCCCTGGGCAGCCAGCATAAAGTCTCATATTCAGCTCTCCAAGGCTCCCTTGCCAGGTACTGTGATGTCACATAGACCACTGGAGTCTATGGGAAGGTGACTTTAATCAGCCGTGTGTATAATGTTGTTTGTCCCTAGCTGTTGGACACCTGGTCATTGAAGAGAAGAAAGAAGGCAAAGGCACTGATAAGAGGAAGAAGGACAGAGAGGTATGAGGGAGAGTGACCAGAAAGCAAAGAACAGAAAATAAAATAATGAAGAAGCAGATAATTGCTTCTGAAAGGAATAGAGCATGCCAAAGGGTAAAGGAATTTTGTCAGAGAGAATGGAACATATACCGGTTCCTCCGCTTGTCACACTCCAGGCTTGTGAGCATCTGGACAAACAATCTAAGTCCTTCCCAGAGACCCTCAGGCACCAACCAAGACAGAGTTTCAAAGGAAAGAGAAGCAGGAAGTCTGTTGGTGTCAGGTGTGTGGAAAGATGTGGGTTGGCATCTGACTCACCCCACTCGACTGCAAGCTCCAGCACACGCAGAAGCTTGCGGATGACATCATCTGGTCGTGACTCGTACCAGACTGACTCAGTGGCACATGGGGCCAGGCACTCACCAATATTATCCCTTACTTTTCCCAGCATGGCCCAAGGGAGGCAGAGGTGCACTCTTTTACAACAATGTGTAATGTCCTAGAAAGGAAAAATGAAGGACAGAGAAGGGATAGACTTTTAAAAGGATGCTTAATATAAGCAAACCAAGCAAACAGGTATTGTTCTCCTTGGTCCTTTGAAAGAATACAGTGTGCCAGGAAGCAGATGCGCTTTAGCACCAGAAATATATATTCTTAAGGCTGCCTGCAGTGACCTTGAGCAATTGATCTAACGTCTTTGATCTTCAGGTTTTTTCATCTGTATAAGGAGAAGAATAACACCTACCATACAGGGCTGTTGCAAAGGTAAGACATGTACAGTCCCTGGCACTGGGCAGGAGATTGGTAACTGTTAGTCCTTATTATGCTACTTCTTGCTACCTTCTATCAGTGCACGAGAACTAACTTCTCCAAGGTGCATTTTTCTAGAAACCCCACCTTCCTCAAATAGAGTTGGTTATGGTACTTCGGAAAGGAGCTTCAAGACCAGTTGGTCTGAGCCCTTCCTTTTTTGGCTCAGAGAGGTGGGTGGTTGATTCGAGGACACAATAGGACATAAATTGGTTTCAGAGCTAGGACCAGGCACCTGAATTCTGAGGCAATGTTACCTCTTCTGTCCAGTGCACCTGATGGTACTAAAGTAGTCCAGTGCATTTCCCCACGAGGTTGCTGACTTGTAGTCCTCGTCTGTGGTAGCTGCCCAGAAGGAAGATAGAGGTGAAAATGAATGAACCAGAGGTCTCCTCCTTTGCGCCTCCCCATCTCTCCACAACCCCAGGTTATGGTACAGAACAGCTAAACCCTCTATTTTGTGAGTGGTAGCAGGGGCAGCAGAAGGACTTCTGCTTACAGACAAGCTGGAGGCTCCATCAAGCTTCACAGAAGCTCAGCTTACTTTGCTGGGAGAAGGTGGAGATGCTGCGTGGGGTGCGCTGTCCACTTCCTGTGGCTGGTGAGGATTCATCCAGTGATGGTCAGGAATCCATCTCAACCCTCCTCACCCATAAGAAGGTTTAAAACTGGCCAGAACCTCAAGGACAGCTAAGCTATTACTGGAAAGTGAGTCAACTCTGCAGCCCTTAAAGATCTGTGAAGTATAAACGACATCTCCATAGACCTTGAGCACATCTAGAAGGCCTTGTGGAAAGAAAGAAGAGCCCAGCTCATCCTGGGCTGCAGTTCCTGTAGGTTGTTTAGAGTCAAGCTAGACATGAGAGAAATAATCCCAGAGGGAGAAGTCAGGAAAGGGGAGAAGGAAGAATCAGCATCTGGGATCGCACTGAGCCCAAATCTGCCCAAGGCAAGTTCAACCTCAGCCTCCCTTCCCTTCAGCTGGTAGAGAATAGAGGCAGACTGTGCGGTCTGAGGGAAATTTCTTCTCTGTCTCTTGTAAAAGGGGTTCTTTTTCCACTACAGGAAAGACTTTCCTCTGTGAAAATGGGGGAGTAGGTACTGACTGGGGCTGGGTAATTTCCAGAGGTTGCTCACAGTTGGCAGCCAGGCACAGAGTCTTCATGCTGACCAAATCCTTCAAGGCAGGGTTAATGGAGCCACAGCATCTCACTGTGCCTGCTGAGTCTAGGACTTGGCTGCTTGGCCCTCCCAGGAGGTTGTGCATGTCAGAAAGCACAGGTCAGATCAGCAGGAGTGGCAGGGTCCCTTTCCGGGTCAAGGGGCCACTTTAATTGCAGGCAGGGGGACTCCCTTTCTTCTCCCCAGATAATTGCCTGGGTGATCACTTCCCTGCCCAGTTTCCCTCTTTATGCGCACATGAGTGGCCAGGCATGGGGTCTGCAGGATGGACGGAAGGCTTTCTGCCCACCCCTATCTGTCTTCTGTACAAACACACACGCATGTGCGTGCGTGCACATACACGCACGCACCCACCCACACACACACACACGCGCGCGAGTGCGCGGTTTCCACTCCTTACTATCAGCCCAGCCTCATTTCCTTCCACGACAGGGCCCTTGGAACCCACCACCGAGCTGGCGTTTCTCTAAAAATAACCATGTCCGACGTGATGAATGGGAAGGCATTTGCTCTCCTTTTCCTGCCTCAGCCTGAATCATGTTGGGAAATGACATTCTGTTAACACAAGCACTTTTGTTTCCTCCTGTACTCTTTTACCATCCGGTGGGGGCCCTGGCCAGGACGGGCTTTCAATTTTTAAAGCCTCCCCGGGGGTCCATCCAACACCCTCAGACAGTGACATTAAGGAAACCCACAGAAGAAGAGCAATGGACAGAAGCATCCTGTGTCTCCCCAGGGGATGTGAAGGACGTGCTGGGGCACAGGCTGTACACAGACCCCCCTCACCAGAGCTAACCAGATACCCAGGCCAGAAATGTCCCTGAGGCTAGCAACCAGCCTCACTCAGCACCTGGCTCTGGGAAGCCGCATAATGAACTGTTGCAGAACAGAACATGAAAGAGTCCCAGGTGTAACTTAATGGCTCTCTGCTTCCATCAGAGAGTGGCTCTGATTCTGCCTGGAGTCAGGCATGTGGCGGAGGCGGCCTCCCAGCTGGGCAGGGGATCAGTTTGGGAAACATTGTAAAACTTCCCATATCATAGGCAGTTTGACTCTCCTTGACCTGGTTCCGAGTTCTGTGTGACCCAGGACCATGACCCCTTCCTCTTTGCATCATTAATCCCAGATTTTGGTACCTGGCTCACAGGAGGTTTTTTGAGAAGTTCCTTTTTGGGTTTGAACAAAAATAAATAGCACCTGGAGGGGCTCAGCAGAACTATTGTCACTGGCCTTTTAAAGAACAAAGAGGGAGGATGGAGTCTTTGGAATCTAGAGTGGGGCAAAGCCGGTCCACCTACCCTTAAGAAAGGTCCTGTCTTGGAGTTCATCCTCATGTGTGGATCCTATTCCAGCTCACAGGCCACTGGAGAGCTACTGATTCTTGACAAGCCAGCTCTTCCTGAGAAGTCCTCTTCTCCTCTCTAAGGATTTTTCTGCTTGAATTTGTATGGGGTCTTGGTTTAATGGAATCTGTTTTCAGTGACCGTTCTGACCCTGTCTTGAACAGATCCTCTTAACCTTTAACTTGTTCTTAAAGCAAATGACAGATGCTTTTGGCTTAAGTGGTAAACCCATACGTAATCAGCCTACCAGTTCTAAGAGTGTCATCATTCGGTTGGGGCAAAATATGGCCAGCACCTACACACGATTTTCACTTTCCTCTGTGTGTCTATAAATGCACAGGTACTCTGGGGACAGGTCTTAATGGCTGATGCATGCCACATTACCCAACTTCTCTACACATCTCCCTGTCCCCAGACTCCAATCCCACACATACCCGCCCTATGAGGAGATGGTAAACATGTGGGCTTGGGACCAAAGTCTACACTCCTGAGGAGCTCAGGAGAGGGTAGCTGGATGTCAGTAAATGATAGCAGCAAGGAGACCCACAATAGCTAGCCATGGCTGAACACAATCCTGAGCCCAAGGACCCAGACATATGACAGCTGAAGAAGACACAGGTTCATTCACACAGAAAAGAGGCAAAGGTGAGAGACTCTCTTTGACAGAAGATAAAGAGATTTTACTGTAAACCCTCAGGTTCCAAAGTGGGCGCACAGGTAAGTGTTGCCCCGGTAACTCTCACCCTTTGGGTGCCAGAGGTTGATGGAGAAATGGGAGCAATTAGAGCTTGAGAAAGAGACATTGGCCCAAGCTGGGGCTCACTCTTGTGACTTCACATATCTTTACCAGCCAACTGAGCACCTGAGATTGGTGTCTAATTCTATGGTGTGGACATTTCTCTATCTGTTAGAGGAATCGGTCAGTAGGAAGAAGACGTTCAATAGTCTCCGTGGCTTACTAGGTTAATGGTGACAGGGCTTAAGTTGTTTGTAAAATAGTAGCTTCTTTCTGTCCTTTGGATTTCTCCGTAACTACTTATAAAAGGTCAACAGTTATAAGAGGGCCTCTTAGAGGGCTTTTCTTAGTGATTAGATTTTCCCTTAAATTCCACCTAATGCTCCTTATCAGAACTTTCTCTTTTATCATTCCCTTCCACCCTTTCTTCCTCGCCCAACTATGCTGAACCATGGCTTTTTCTCTTGACATCTCTAACTACTAAGTGGGGGGCCTTCTGTTTGGGTTCTCTGTAGTTCAAAAAGTCCCTGGGCCACTTGAGCAGTGTTCTTCCTAAGTGTCCCACTCACAGATATGTCTTCTGAGTGCCGTGATTTGAATGTGTCCTCAAAAGTTCATGTGTTAGGAACTTAATCTCTAAATTCATATGTTGATGACTTTTGGAGGTGGTGTCTTAGGGAGATAAGTAGGGTTACATGAGATCATGGAAGTAGGGCCTCCATGATGGCATTAGTGATTTTATTAAAGGAGAAGAGAGATCTGAATCAGTGTGCTCCCTTGCTCTTCCCATGTGATGCCTTCTTCCGTGCTATGATGCAGTGAGAAGGCCTTCAGCAGAGGTCAGCACCTTGATATTGCATTTTCCAGCCTCCAGAACTGTGAGAAGTAAATCTGTTCTCCTTAACAATTTCCCAGTCTCAGGTATTTTGTTTGTCTTAGTTGCTTTCCCATCACTGAGATACAACACCCAACACCTGCAGCTTGAAGGGGGAGGAGTCTATTTTGGCTCACAGTTTCAGAGGTTTCAGTCCATGGCCAGCTGGCTCCAACACAGAAACCACATGGTGACCCAGCCAAGTAGAGAGAAGCTGATCACACCATAGCAGCCAGGAAGTGGTGAGAAGGGAGAAACTAGAGAGAGACATCCTT